AGGCAAATATTTGTTTTAAGAACATCAAATTTCCGCGGGGCAACTATCAGCCGATAGTTCCTCGACAGAAACACTCTATTGTTTAAATAGATAGTGAGTTGCGTAGCCAATAAGAGAACGGCATTCGTGATGGAACGCTAGTTGATGTATACTAAAACTCGATTGAAACACGGTACATGTTTTCTATTTCTTAAATAATTAAAAGCCATGTTGTACATAGAAAATACCGAACAGCGAGGTACTGGGATTGGAAATGGGTTGGAATGGTCAAATGGAACGGTCCATTTCGATCGGACGAAAGGTGGACCGACTTTTTCGAAACTTTTCCGGTTGGACCGAACCGATCCATTCAGTTTTAGACTGAAATTTCTTAAAATTTTGGTGAAATGAATCGTGCCCATGGTAATGCGCGCGCTTATATTAGGCTCTGTTCACACTACGCCAGAGAAATTTGAAAACGCAGCGTTATTTTTCCGGTTAGGTTTAATTTTCCGTCCACACTGATACGTCGCGAAAAAGGAGCTTTCCGAAAACGCTGTTCAAACCGGAGGAATTTGAAAACGCCGGATGGCGCTTTGCGTTTTAGTGTGGACAAAAACATTTTGAAAACGATGCTTTTCGAAAACAATGAGATTACGATAACCATAATACTTCTTTGCCCGAGTTTTCCTCAAACACAAATACAAAATGACTAGTGATTGTTGCGTTCTAAAATTTCTCCTGCTCACGGGAATGTCTTTGCCCGTCCGTTGAGATTTGTGGCAAAAGTGTTGATCACATCGGGACTTGACTGATCTCGATAACTATCCGTACTGCCGGATACCCAAAAAATGTAGTGTCCTTAGATTAGACCGCTTTAGTAGACAATCATATTGGCCAGAAGTGTCTTATTTTAAAGTCGATATACGGACTGACGATGGTTCCTGGTTCTTACATCATTGTCATATGAGAGTACAATGGATTGTGCTTAACTAGTAGCCGCGAACTGGTCAACACTGTCAGCTCAGGAGAAAGAAAACCAACCAACCAGCCCCACCCAATTTTTCTGGGAGTACCCCCGCCCCCGGGGGTTTGCAATTATCTAGGCCCTTTCATATCCAGTGGAACCCCGCCTAAAGGTCACCTCGTTGATACGGTCGCCTCGTTATTACGGCCAATCTCTTTTGTCCTGGTGAAACGCCCATACATTTTCTCATAAGAAAACCCCGTTAATCCGGCCACCCCGTTAATCCGGCCACCCCGTCAATCCGGCCACCTCGTTAATACGGTTAACTGCCACATTCTGAAAGCCCAGCCTGTATAATACGTAATAATTTACCCCGCCAATAACGAACACTCGAATCAGTTATACTCATCTCTTCGTGGTTACATGCAATATTGTATGTAACCTACATTCCGAATGCTTATTTTAAAAAGAACAGTTGTTCAGAAGTGCAACTGTGGCATATTATTATTATATTTAAAAAAAATCATTGACCAGTCATGAAATTTTTTTCTACCCCGTTACGTTAATGTGGCCAAATTTTCATGGCTCGTTGGTGACCGTATTAACGGGTTTTCACTCTATTTGCTTTAATCCACTTGGATTAATTCGCTAATCCAACGTTGGGGTGTTGAATGTAAAAAACATAACAATAAAGCAAGGCTGATAACTAGGTAGAAAGCTGAACGAGACAACGACATGATTCTTATGTTTCTATGTTTGGCTGATTAGATCTTTCACAGATATACGTACCGGCCGGCAGCATTTTCGTTTTGCGGTCTCTTGCACCATTGTGTGTGCGTCAGAGTATTTAAAATATTCTCCATGATCCAAGTTTGCTCATTCATGCTCCCATTTCGGCTTTTCTGTGTTTCATGTTCCTCGGTTGTTATGAAATATAGCTCTAAGAGATGGATATTAAACTATTGGGGATGCTACGGTACTGCGACTGAATACGAGGCTAGCAAGCAGACGATTGTGTGTTGAGAAGCGCAGTTGTGTCCGTGACGCGGACTCAACATGCAGGACACCGATTGAAACTGTTGATCGAACTGTGAATAATATTACGGCACAACGTTCTTTTCTAAAAGAATACAGTAATATGTTTAGGACATAACTGTTAATGGATCGTTAGAGAAAATAGAATGAAACGTAAAGCAATTTTTAAGACTTTCGGTATAAGATTGCGTTACCATTTGGTGTATTGCGTTACTTCGAAGCGCATGTATTCTGGAGCATTTCCGCATCACGGGAGGCCTTAGTAATGGCGGGTCTTGTTGTTTTGGCTTTTGTAATTGTGATTGTATTTTTGCTGGTTCGTATCCTAAATCTGACAGATTCGGCTCGTGCTCCAAAGATTTTTGCACCCAAGCATCCTTTTGTCGACCAAGTCTTGCAATCTTGTCCCATTTTATTCGAAAGGTATGTTTATAAGCTTGAATTTTTTTTTTTCAAATATTGTTTTCGCTGCGGTGAAGAACAGAACGCCTCGAGGTTGTTTTGAAAGCCTTTTGCAGCTGAAGCTAATTTTCTCTCAAATAATCATTGTTAATTTTGTTTCTGTTCCTTAATGCATTTTAGAACGTAACTAAAAGTAATCATGTATGCCTGTTATTTGTGAATTTAACACACCATCTAGTTCGTCTAATTATTATTGCTGATTATACAATGTCTTAAATTACGCGCAAGAGGTAACGCGTAGATTGTTTATTTTAAGCTTACTTAAGTTTATTTTATCGCCAAATTTTAAAATTTATGTAGTGCTCTTTTCATATGCGATACAACGAAAAACGGTTTGGTTTAATATTTCAGGTATCCAGCTTTTTAAAGAGAACTTACAATGTAAACGTTACCGCAAATTATTCAATGTCATACTGCTGCGATTAATTATTTACAAGTAATTTACTTATTACACAAATGGCTCCATGCTTGCACCATAAAAATTTGTTTTTGTACTTGAAATACATTAGTTGCAATTTTGTTGCAAATTATATGAATTTTTTTAGGATGTTGACAGACATCGCATTTACAAAATAGTTTCAGTAACTTTATAGAGGTTTTCACATGGGTGTCAAATTAGCATTCAATTTGATTTTGCATAATTTGCTATGCTAGGCAATTGTGTAGTTTCAGAAAATATCCATACATCTCCCACTGAAGGGTTTTTTTTTTCCAATTAAGCTTCAAGCATTTTCTTTAATTGTTTTTGGTCTTACAGAAGCCCCACCCCAAGAAATTTGTGCCACTTTGTCAACCAATCAGAAATAAGCCAAAACCAGTCATGACTTGATCTTGCAGGCTTTTCTGTGTTTTGTTTCAGCTACAATGCATATATTCAAGGGGTGTAATTCAGTTTTGAATCACCTGTTAGCCTTGACTTTCAGATCCATAACACACTTTTTACCTCATGGGTGAATTGGGTCGATTACAGGCAAGTTCACTGTCCCATAATATCAAGAACCCACAATTTAGGCATACTCAGCCATAAACAGGTGCTACAGGCAACAACTCTTATTGACAGCCCTGCATGTATAAGTGTCCAGTTACAACCTTTTCGCAGGAGGGTACGTACATCTAGGTCTTTTTCAGCAGCTGGTCAATGAGAGCAATGATATTTTGTACACTTTGACCATGTTTTGCTTTCACAACACTCATTTGAAAGCTGTTCTGAAAAATTTCACCAGATGTAACAACACTGCATGGTAAAAAAATTCTTTAAATAATTAGTCACTGATATATAACACAGAACACACTTAGCATGCATGCAGTCCTTCTGAACAATAAAGGTGTCTGAACATGCTACTGTAACAATAAATAATTCAAATGTAGAATAAGTAGAGCTTTTTTAGTTAGTATTTCATTTTTTTTGTTCACAGGTATTGCCCTCCACTTATTTGGGGAAAGAGTGGCCACTTCCAGACAGTTGTTGGTGGTTTTTATGGGCGACGTTCTCCTCCGGAACTGAAAGGAACATTACACACTACTCAACTTGGTGATGGCACAGTTGTCACGTATGAGATTTTTGAACCTGACAAAAATTCATCTTCATGTGATGAACAGGTGTGCAAATTTGCTCATGGCCCTTCCATCTTTAGCTCTGAGTCTGAAAATCACCTAATAATACTTGATATGACAAATTACGTGTTTAATCTAAATAAAGTTCAAGCTGCAGCCAAGAGCAAGATCTTGTTACTCTAACTTCATGATAGCCTGCATGACAGGTGTGTTTTTTGGCGAGCAAGTGCAGAATATTCCAATCAAATGTTGAAGCCACCATATTGGAGTGGTTAGAGAGCCTTGGGCAGGTAAAAACATTGGACTAGGGGGGGGTGGTAGTGAGAATGGCAAAAAATCTCTGGAATCCAAGATTACAGGGCAGCTATAAATAACACAAAACATATATGACCAGTATGAACAAAAATGCCGGCCTGCAATTCAGGTTATTAGCTACTTGTTGGAGTGCTTGTCAACTTCCCAAGTTCATCTTAATTTATGATGTTCAGCTAAAAGCAATGGATTTTATAACATTACCAATGGAATTAGCAAAGCAAAGTTAACTTTGCTCATGCCATGAGCTTGCATTTGGATTCAGGGGCAGATGCAAGATTTTTTTCAAGGGGGATTGAATAGTACCTTGGGGTTATAGACTGAATCAATGGGGCTTACCCTCAAAGTGTTTTAATTTGGGAAGTGGAACCTAATTTGAAACTGTTATGCTACAAATAATAGCAATACCACACAGTAGAAATTACAGTGAGGCAAACTATCCAGAGTGTTTCCCTTCATTTCTGCTAATATTATTCACAATTTATTTCATTTTTTAAAATTATTTCTACAAGAGAGGGATGGTTAGCTACCCAATCCATCCTTCCCCCCAAATCTGCCCCAGAATGATGCACACTTATGTATACTAATGAGTGCGATGGCACAACTTTTCTATAGTTCTATGTTTTAACACAGTTTGATGCTTTAGTTTGACGTTAGCTGTATCCTTTCAGCCTTATCCATCATTATGGAAACCCAGCTTATAATGAGTAAAAATAATGATTTGTTTTTTCAAACTTTAGGAGCAGCCTACTATTGTTATAGTCCCAGGGATTGCAAATTGCACTGAGACCAAATATGTCCGTACATTTACTGGCTATGCTATTAGCCAGGCCTTCAGAGTGGCTGTTTTAAATCATCTGGGAGCGAAGAAAGAAGCTGGTTTATCCACTCCAAGGATATTCACATATGGTAAGGATGTACAGTTCAACATCTTTCTACTCCAACAACACTTTGTTACTGATTAGGACTCTAGAGATGGATCCGTGGTACATGACATTGTATTAATACCTATTGAAAATGTATCTAAAGTTTCCAGTTTCACTCCAGAGAGTGACAAGTTTAAAGCTGGAAAACAAAACTTTGTTAGTAATATAATAATTATATAATTATGATAATAACAATAATAACACTGATGATGATGATGATATATTACTAGTTTATATATTAATTAGAAAGTTAGAATCATCTTTGTACAGCATAATAAAAGTACTGCTCAATAGCTTTCATTTGAATGGTCACACACTAGGGTTTCATCCACAGACTTGAGAGTTAGAACCACCTTGTACAGCATAATAAACAGTACCACATGAAAGTACTACTCAATAACTTTCATGTGAATGGCCACACACTAGGGTTTTATCCACAAACTTAAAAGTTAGAACCACCTTGTACTGCATAACAAAACAGTTCCTTATGAAAGTACCACTCAATAGCTTTTGTTTGAATGGCCACACACTAGGGTTTCATCCACAAACGTAAAAGTTAGAACCACCTTGTACGGCATAACAAAACAGTACCTTATGACACTAGGGCTTCATGCATCTAATGATATCAAATTACAACCATCTTGGGTGTCCTTGTTCAACACAATATATAGACAGCATGTTATACTGATCAAAATGGCTTTTTAAAAAAGATTTAAAGAATATATAAATTTAGGGATGGACCATTTGTGGGTGATTTTGAAAAAAGGAATGTCCTGCAAGCATATAATACTTGCACCGAAAAAATTTAAAAAAGCACATGACCAATGCCAGAAAAAAAATTGATGCATGGTCAGTAAAGGAAGAAAAAAATATATCATGTGTACACACGTCAGGAGAAAAAAATTTTCCAACTGCATGAAAGGGTTTTAAAAAAAATGTGTACCTGTACTAAATCACCCACACAGCCCTCAAAAATCAAATGGTCCACCCCTAACACCTGCTGCTCATTATTGGGTTTAAGGATCATGTGTATTAAAGAAGTCCATGGTCGAGCGTCAATCAATACCCTCGATCGACATCCCAATGGACAGTTGACTGACATCTTGATTGACACTCAATCGACATCCTGATTGATACTCAGCCAAAACACTGATTGACATTCAATCAAAAGTCAGTTGATAGTAAGCCGAGTGTCAACCAGCTAATATGCATTAATCAAAAATTAGTCGACTCTCAACTTACTGTCGACTGAGATGCTGATTGAGTGTCAATCAAGTGTCAACTGAGGTGTCGATGGAGTGTCAATCGAGTATCAATCAGGTGTTGATTGAGGGTCGATGAAGGTTTGATCAGAGGTATGGATCGAGGACATCGATTGACACTCGACTGCAGTACATAGTTATGATCCGGGCTTAATAGGTCTACCAGGTTAACTTTCCTGTTGCATTCTTACACCATATGTAACTGGCATGTTCAAAACAGGTGGTACAGAGGAGCTTGCTGCTGTAGTAAATCACCTGACCTCTGTGGTAAAGCACAAGCGACTAATAGGAGTTGGGTTTTCCATGGGAGGAAACATTTTGATAAAATATCTTGGTGAGGAACCAACAAGACAGGCATTGTTTGAATGTGCTGTCTCGGTTTGCCAGGGATATGACATTTTAAGGTAACACTGATTGCCAGATGACATTCTCCCACTGTAGTTTGACATCTATATCCTAAAATAGAGTTTCCTTCTTGCTTTTACTGCGCCTTTCAATAAATGCAGACTCTAAAATTCAAAGCTCAACCGACAAAATGCGTTTTTCGCTGCCGTCAATCTAATGTTCGGCAGCTTCTCCCAGCTTGCGACTACTGCTGAACACTGTTTCGTTGTCTGAACTATGCTCAACGATTTGATTACCTCGCGCTCGGCAGAAGTCGGAAGCTGGGAGGAGCTGCCGAACATTTGATTTGACGGTAGCGGAAAATGCATTTGTCAGTTGAGCTTTGAATTTTAGAGTCCGCATGTTATTGAAAGGCGTAGTAATCTCTCTACTTTAGCTTTTTTTCTGCTCTGTGGGGTCTTCGCAGATTTCTCATCATGTGACCTTGTCAATCAATCAGTTGTCAAAAATAATCATAGGCAAAATGAATATCAGAATTGAAAAGGTTAAATGTATTTAGTAAGGTTACCATTCGTAGTTAAAACATAAGTTCATTTTTTAACCGACGTTGTCCTCGGCGTCGCCGTCGTGGTTTCTTAAACTCCCTAATATCTGTTGTACTGCTGTTGCACAGTTTTCAATTTTTCTGCACATTAGCGCGGGCCACCCACCACATGTTTCTGGAGAAGGGACAGAATAGAGTGCGCAAAGACTTCTGTTTTTTTATTCGACTGTTTACACCAGAAAGTTTGTTTAATGGTTGGTTGGTTGGTTTTTTTTACTCTTACAGAGCCAAGGTTCTCTTGCATGAATGGGATGGTCTTCGACGTTTTTACAACTGGGCGATCACGCAAACCGTGAAGAGCGTGATCGATCGTCACGTGAGAGTGTTATTTCACGGTCCAGACTTCACATGCCCTCACAAGTCATCGATTCATCACGTGCGCTCATCTTCATCTCTTGTGGAACTTGATGATGTCTATATAAAGTAAGTGACACTTTTTTAAGTATAAATTCCTATTGAGCCACCTTGGTAAATATTAACTGCTTATTAACCGAGAGTGAGGTCTTTACGGAAAATCTCAAACCGATACTTTCCTGTAGAAGGCCGAGGTCAATACGTTGTTTATTGTATGGCTTTTTTGCTTTGTTTCTACAGGCCCTTAATCGGTCCGTGGGCATTACGGGAGAATAATGCCCTAGAATTAGCCAACCAGAGCGTGCGTTATATCGGCTACAAACTCAAGCCATATAATAACTCAATTTATTATATGGTTAGCTCTGTGAGCAGCAAGATGAACCAATTCCTACGCTGTGATTGGCTACTCCGAGCGGGCAAGATGGCGCCACCCTGCCCACTCGGGACTATGTGCCGTGTCCGGCAAGAGCACGCGTTACATGTATGTCCCGAAGCCATGTGATAAATACTTTTTTTACGATAACTGCAGAAATTCTCGCGCGCTCATTGGCTAATTTTCATCGTCAATATGCGGACAGACACAAGAATTTATAATTTATGCGACGCGTCAACGAGCGAGAGCGGACAACTTGACAATCTGTTATCGTAAAAAACAAATTGACGCCTGCCTAGTTTTTCATACGTCTGTCCTGTTATTGACTATGAATTTCGTCATTACATTGTTAAAGTAGTCTGCGGATCCACAGCTACTTTGACAATGTTATGACGAAATTCATCATCAATAACAGGACAGACGCATGAAAAACTGACGTCAATTTTTTAAATTGACCAAGCTTGTTCGGTCAAGATGGCTAGATATTGGCCTCGCTCTTTTTGTGTGTGTTTATATGGAGCTCGAGCTTTCTAGTGTTTTAAAGTACAGTGGAACCCCGTTAATCTGGTCACCAACAAGTCACAAAAATCTGGCTGTATTAACGGGGTGGCCGTATTAATGGAGTTCTTTAGATAGTACTAACAAAATGACTGACTGAGCTTTTTGTTCAGGGCAGAATAAAGTGGCGATAATAATGAGGAGGCCGTATTAAGACGGAATCCACCAGAAGTTCGAGTAACGAGTGGACAAAAACCTAGTACCAAGATTATTTACATCGTATTGCAAACTGCTGTACGACTGTTTTAAATATCTTCTCAAAAAGAAAAAAAAATCATTTCTAGCAACACCAAACGTCGAAAACGAATATTGAACTTCGTATGAATCACTTGAAAGTACTTGTGAAATGAAACTGATGATGAAATTTTGCCTGTGTTTGCGCAAGTTCTCTGAACTTTGAAATTCATTTTCTCTCGTTCCCATGGGAAATTGTTTTCGGTGTTATTTCAGGCAATCATTTATGTATTTACCTTTAAGAAAATGTAAAAATGACTGTAAAATACTTTAAAATTATTCTGGTACCAGATTTTTGTCCACTAAAACCTAACTTTGCTCGATTTTCTATCGGATTTCGTCTTAAACGCCTTTAGCGTAAACAATCCTGGCTAGATGTTTTGATCGCGCGTGCGATGACTAAACATTACGTCGCTTATTAGTGCCCTTGCTTAAAGTAATGTCAAGAAATTACTTGCAAATTTTTCGCCGTTTTCTTCCTTTAGAAAAATGGCCGGATTTCATCATTTGGACGAGTTTTATGCAGTCAACAGCTCCTGCAATTATATCAATCAGGTATTTATTAAAAAATATGATAGGGAAAGTGGTGTTTTCTTCTGTGAGAAATTTAAAGATACCTAACACCGTTTCATCTGTTTTTTTTTTTTTTTAATTGCTCCTAGGAGATTGCGTAAGAGACCCTTTTTTTTTCCTTTTTGTTTTCTTTTTTTAACGTTTATATATGTTTCCTTCTTGTTTTCTGTTTACAGATTAAGATCCCAGTTCTTCTGTTAAATGCTCTTGATGATCCTCTTGTTCCAGAGGAATTGTTCCTTACGCCATACAATCATGTCAGTGAGTATTGATGTATTGCGGTCCCGTGCTTTGTTGTAGGTCCCGCATGCGAATTGCTGTCGTCTCGCCCGAAAGCCAGTTCGCCCGGACTGTTAACTCCGTGGTCTAACGAGAAATTTTCATGCTTTGTGTAATTTTGTTTCAAAATGCCCACAATGTTGTCTTTTGCGCTCGTTTAGTTATTTGAATTAACACATCCCTCTTTGAACTTTCAGTCCGGGCGAACAGACTTTAAGTCCGGGCAAACTGACATCGGGCGAAACGACCGGTTACCTGGCATGCACTTTGGCAGAAATAATTAGAGATATAACGAGACGCAATTCTCAGTGGGTGTGGGATCAGGCATGGGGGCAACCCATAAAATGGTGATGGGGGCTACATCACTCGTGATTTGTTACCGCTTGGAGTAGACTGCGAACAGTCTCTTTTGCTCGAGAGAAAGGACGCAAAAAAGAGCCGCCCGCGCGCAACACAAGTGAGCGGTCGAGAGCGTGCGAGCAGGGCGCTTATATGTCGCCTTTTTTGGGCCCTGGTGCGAGCGTCTGCGAGCGTGATATGCAAAGCGCGAACCGCAAGTAGCGCGGGCGTCAGAAAAAACGTAAACTGAGTTATCCTGAGATACCATTCCGGACATTAAGTTTGAAAGATGCGACAAGAACTTTATCGTCCTTACTGGAGTAACTGAAATAACGGGGTGCTTTCACAATTTCCGACGATATCGCTCATATGTTACAAGTCCTTACAATTCCTATATCTTTCTTGTGATGGGGAAAAGAAGGTAAAACAGAGTCTTCAGCCATTTAATAGCTATTCGTGATTCTATGGATGTGTTTGTTGGCTTATTACTGTAAGATCTCATCTCTTTCTTTTCGTTTTCAGAATGCAACGAAGCAGCATTGTTTGTTGTCACCCACCATGGCGGCCATCTTGGATTTTACGAGGGAGGCCTTTTCACTGTATCTCCTCTCACTTGGCTAGACAAAGCAGTAATGCAGTACATCATGGCCGTGTTGAAAGTTAAACGATCGGAAGAGAAGCCTTCCTTATTGAACGAGGGCAAAGAATATGTTATTGCATCCTAGTTGACGACGAAAATCTTGTAGCTGCCGGCGATTGCTGATGAGAAGTAGCCATCATGCATTTCAAGGTCGACTAGGCCCTGAGAACGGGGTGTTTGAAATTTAAGTTTGGAAATCAATCTGGTGTTTTTGAAATGTAGCTATTTTTGATAACCCTTAGTATTGAAATGTTTCGAGGACAGCAATAATTGCTTCAGGGTGAGGCCAGGACTGTATTATTTTTACAGTCTGTGGATCGGTAATTTTGCCGTTATTTAGAATATTATTCAAATTATTTAACACTTCGTTGTTATTTACAACTCAGAGGAATGAATAAATTAGTGACTGAACGAGTGAATGAATCAGTAGGTGTGCATAAATTTGTCCAATAGATGTAATTCGTTATTATGATAATTAATATTACTTGAACCCACTCATATTACTATGTCAAGCTAAATTTAACGTTATCGCTTGTAATTTTAGTCAATTAGTGATATAAGATTTACATTGAACAATTTTCTAGGCAAACTTTGTAATTAGTTACATTATTATTACAATTCGAATTAAAAGTTATTTTTTTGATAATAAAAGTCTCGGTTGTTACTGATTGTTCCAGGAAAGCTCATTGCTCTGATTCCGGTTGACCCTCAGAGCCGGTGGTAAAAGTTAAATTTCTGCGTACACTACTGACATCTTCTTCTACAGGCTTTCTGTACAGCTTTAGTCAAAAGCAAACAGCTGTTGATTTCTCTGTTCCTTCAAGGTCCTATTCAGGGAAAAGCTATTACGGTAAAAACCAGCATAAAAGAGCACATGTTTTGGGGGTTCAGGCTGATTTTGTTCTGATATATCGGGTGCTTTCTGCAAACTCAGCCTGAAAATGTTTTTAAGGTGTCCTTAAAATTGTTTCTAAAAAGTGAATGCTGCATAGACTACTAACAGATGAAATCAATGTGCAAGCACAACATTTTAATTAATTAATGGATAGCACATATATTGATCTACTTAGTATTGTACCCTAGTAAGTTTTTCTAATCTACCTGGCAGCCAGTTGTTTTTTTTTTTATATAAGAACAATTTTCATCTTTCAGGCTGAATGTGTTCTTATGTATATGGTAGTTTTTTGACCAAATTTCAGCCTGAGTGTTCTTAATCCACTTGTTCTTTTATGCGGCTTTTACTGTAATATATCCCTGTTGTTAATCGCTGTCTTCATTAGGGTTGATTTTGAGTGTAACTATTCATACACTGTCCTCTACCGAGCAGGAACTGCAACAGCAAAAAATGAAAGTGTATTAGGAAAGATCAAGAATTAACGACAGAATAAAGCTAGAACCTCTCGTTCTGTCTGCCTGGATCCTGTTAACGTTTTCCTTCAGTCAGCAGTTTTGTGTAGCAACCAGTTCCAGAGTGTGTTTTTCAATTTTTTTTCTCTTCGTTACGTGAACGTGGCTTCTTAGACAACGATTTGGAGGGAGCAGGATCACGCAGGAGTCCATAAGCTCTCCTGTGTTAAGTGAATACGACGCAACCGTGAGAAAAATAATTAGTGTCTCTCCATTCTTTTCTGATCGCTTCAAATAATTAAATTACGCGGTGACTGGAGGAGGTGGCTTTCACAGTTCTACCTGCGCTTGTTAACACTCACGCATTTTATTTCCTGCGCTTGGCGCCAGGTACATTCTTCTCGCGCCTGTTAGCGGTTATACATTATCTCGTATGCTCCTGCTTCGACTTCTAATTGGTTAATTGGTGTTTTCGTTTGTCTATATTCGTCGCGTCCCGTAAAGTTCCTTATGTTATTGCAAACCTTTCAACAAGGTACTTTTCGTGTGGCTTGCATGACATAGTTAATTACCGCTGACCCAAGGTTTCATGTAGGTGATGTGAACAGAACAGATGTTCAATCATTCACAGTTGCACAAATAATAACTATCTTTAGCCCAGAAAAACAAAGGACAAATTTGTGCAACTGCAAATCCTTGAGATATAAATTAGAAATTCAAAATCCGATTTCATTTGAAATGATTCCTGGCTGCGAGTCCTGGCTATCGCTCGACAAGGAGATTGACTTGTATGAAAACTGCCCTTCATAAGAATTAGGTTTTACACAAGGATTCGTTCGTTTTCTAAGAGTTAAACTTATTCTCGTCCCCAGAGTCTCCGTTCAAACATTAACGGGTAGCACTGGGTACGAAAACGGCGTTATAAGTTCTTACGCATGCGTTGACTCTCGAAGAAGACGTCACGCATTCTGTCGTTCCTGATTGCGTGACGAATTCGGCCATTAGGAGGCAAACTGCGTTACCGTTTTCATGAAGGCTCGGGTGCCTTGACTCATCCCTTTGTCAAAATCGTTGTAAATGTCACTTAAAATTTCGCACCTCTGGTCTTTATAGTTGAAACCTTGGCAATGCGGATTTCTCAAACACAGGTCCTCACGGTGAAGCTTGGACAACACGGAGCACGTGACCAATACGTCACCAGTGAGATGTTTCTCCAAAAAAGGAACGTCTATGGTTGACGTAATCCCAACACACCTCTCGGCCTCGGCTCTTTGATTGGCTCTTGATATTGATGGATGCATGGAACCTTCAAGGGAATTGGTTAAAACTTTAGCTGTCAGTTGTCTGTAAATTTGGCTGGGTAGACGCGGCTCGCAGAAAAAAAATTACAGACAAATATATATGGAAAATTAGAAAAATCAACTGAGCGTCTTCTGGCCAAGCTACATCCTTCAAACTTGATGAATACAATTTTCTAGCCAGTATTGTAACGTTGCGATTCACAAATTGTGTAAAATTCGATTTTGGAAAAAGTTATTTGCCATCGGATTCCCATACAAACACTGTAATATTTCTGACCGCTTTGCCTACCCGTCAAGATGGCGTCGGAAACCGTGATAAGGTCTATTCAGTTTCAGTTCAAACGCTGTTCTTACCTTCTCCTTCAAAAGCCAAGAAAGCAACAAGAGCCAAAACCATTGCTGTAGATGAGCAATACGTGTTTTCTGAAAACATCCCTGAATGTTTTCTGAGCGATCTTAAAATTCTGAAACTGTACTGAAGGTAAATGCTCGTTAGTCAGATTAGAACTTAATTCCAGTTTAGAAACCTGTTAAGTATTGTGTGAGGTTTAACGCGAGGAAACAGTGTAGAGAAAAAACTTTACAAAAGTTATCGCGCGGCTATTGTTTACAGAGTTGACGAAAAAATATATCAAATTTATATGCCTGTATCTGAGATCGACGAAGCAATAAAGTAAAAAAGCCGACAAATCATGTTAATAGTCTCCATGTTTCCTGTTTGTTTCTGCTAGGAGTTTCGATAGCATTTCCAAGAAAAATCTAGAAAATTAGAAACAAATCTACATACCACACACACACAAAAAAAGCATAATCAACGTGTTTATAACTAAATCTGCTACAAGGCCCTACAATTCAGAAATCTTGTTAAAAGACACTCTTGACCATATGAACGATATAGGAAGTAAATACCTATTTTTTTGTCTGCCCTGCTTACAGTTCGTATTCCCCGGCTCCCCGTATAACACAATGTTCCTCTGGCGGTGAAATAATATACAAATGATAACTAAACTCGGAACTGAAACAAGTTTCAACACCTGTAATTGATCAGAATTTACCTGGTAAAGCAAATTGTGTTTGTAAGCGTTTTATTTTTCGTATTATTCCAGCTCTCCTGATTGGTTGTTAGACTGCGATATTTGCCAACCTAATTTGTTTAAAAGGCAGTCCAACAGAAATTATAATTACTACACCTGTCAAATTACTTACACATTTTGCACCATTGTAATGCACTGCTTGGCAGTCACACGTAAGTATAACTAAAATAACTCCCTATTTTTAATTTTTTTCTTGAACTTTAATTAAGAGAATCCCCAGCGAACACATGTAACATTTTAAAGGATAATTAGTGTAAAGTCTCCAAATCCTGGATGGTTTTTTTAACTGCAATCAATTTTGTAAGGTCACTGCAGTTAGTTCAGCTGAATGCACGTTTAACAAATCTTGACTGGTAAAAACGTAGGCACGCAAGGCGTGCAAAAGACGCAAGGCGCGCAAAGGTTATTTTTTGTGAATGAAAAGCCCTTGGAAGTGGCAACACCCAGTGAACCCCTAACAGTTATAATAAGGTTAATCCAACAAGTTTGTTTAGCTACGATGTACAGCGAGAAAAAAACTTTCAAGAGTTTCATATGAACGTCAAAATTTGTTTTCGACAGTTAGTGTTTTTAGAAATGATTTCTTTTGAGAAGACATTTTATAACAGTCGCACAGAAGTTTGCAATATAATGTAAATAACCTCGGTGCAAAACTTTTGTTCCCTTGTTACTCGAACTTGCAGTGGATTCCTTAATTATAACATCGTCATTGAAGGTAGACAGCGTTACATAACTTGAGACTTGAAACAACCAGCCACATTGAAAATTGTGTAAATTTTATAATGCTAGAGGGTAACCCGCGGGTGGGCTAACATCCCATCCAGAGGGGAGTAGAAATACTCCTAGTCGCTTCATGCCACTGAATAAGTTCCGGCTGTAGGGGCCACTGGCTTGATGCAGACTTCATTACCGGGGCAACCTCACAGAGTGCTGGGGGTACCCCTACAATGGACTAGTATCCCATCCAGGGGGTGGGGAAGAAGCCAAACTCCTTGATACTTGTGATTGAAAGATTTTACTTTCTTACGTGTTCGCCTTCATTTGCGGCAGGTATATTTTGCAGGCTGCAGGCTGCAGGTTGCAGGTTGCAG